TCCAGTGGCGTTCTTCGTGAACTAGGCTGAACTATTGTGACTAAAGCAGAGTTGAGACTGAAGACTAAGCCCTCGCTATTTATGTCGATCTTCATTCCCACGCTTACCTATAGTCATGAGTTGTGGACCATGCGTGAATAACTTCAACCACGGGTACAAGCTGCTTAAATGGTCTTTCTGAGACGAGTAGCTGGCATTACGCTTCTCGACGTGTTCTGGAATAGAGACTTCCGCGAGAGCCTTAGTTTGCAGCCGCTGCTTCTTCAGATTCAAAAGTCACAGCTGAGACGGTTTTGGCACATGTTGCGAATGTCTCAAGAAAGGAAGGCGAAGGAACTCTTCGTTGCCCAGGGAGCGGACCGGCAGAAGGCCCAAAGGATGTCCAAGATTAACCTGGTGCAAATATATGGAAGGAGCCTACACCAGTTGTCTTCTGCCCAAGGTCAGACTCTGGCAGTGGATCGGAAAAATTGGAAGCACTGACGCGTCTACCTCCGCGACCTGAAAGGAGAAGCGGTCATGGAAGATGATGATGATGACTGCACGACTGTGAATGATCGAGGCGACTGGAAAATATTTTCTGTTGAAACTGCTACCACCCTGACCCAACAAAAACAGCGATCACTGAAAATGAACGAATAAACAAAGAGTATAACGAAGAGCGGTAATCTGTTGTGAACTTTGAAGAAAACCTTCGGCTTTTAAAAAAACCTTCTTTGAAAAGCATGAAGAGTTGTATCAGTATCTGGGTGCCACTGTTCCTTCAGTAAACGATTGTGTCAGCATTCATGAAGTTCATTACTGACTGAAGAAAATTGATTCAACAGCAACTGAGATCGACATACGTTCCAAACCTTAGTCACTGTCAGATCTCCACAAAATGAATGAGGTTACACTTTCGAAGACTGTTTCAATTATACTAAAAAATATAAATACAGTACCCAATTTCGCAGGAGTCGATGTATCGTGATAAATTTTGGACGCCGGCCAAACCAAGGGTGTCCGCACGTTTTCTTTTACATTTATTTCATTTAAGACAGCTGATTCACTGAGGGCTCGCTGATTAGAAGGAAAAGAATTGCCACGCGGTGAGTCAGCACTGAACACGCAAAAGGAGGTCGGTTTCTTATTGGCAAAACACAATTTCTTGTCTAAAAATGCAATTACATTACTACAGAAACCGTGAATGCTTAGTATCATACAGACAGATCCGTCAGCCGGCCGCAAATATGGTACGGTCTTATGTAGTCCGTAGCCCGTCAGTTCGGTCGAAAACTTTCGCTGAATCTCTGTGTCGCCGTCACATTGGTGAGAGGGCACTCCGGCACGAGTAAGGAACTCGATGTGGGCACTTTTTAGCTTTTCTATTGGCTGTGCGTTTTCTTCTATGCCGCGGAGAAGAACCTCGTTCGCCTGTCTAAAATCATCAGTGCTTTCCAGCTCCGACGCCCATTCGATGTAGAAATCGGCTAATTGAGTGCAGATTCCGTGTGACTGCATGTGGTTGTAGATGGCCAATGAACCAATTTCAATGCTGACTGAAGCCTAAAAAATTCTCGTTACAAACACGTCGCCATTCTGTTGCAAATCAACCAAGAACAGGCAAAACCGCGGTACCAAATCAGAGCGTCAGTAAAATAAATTACAAGAAAATTACAGCAGATTTGATCCTACCCACAACGTTGGACGGATTCCCCACCTTAAGACGCAAGATCGTTGCAGATATTAACTCTGGATCTGACAATGGTTGTGCACTTCCCCACTAAACTAAATTGTTTAAATAGTACTCAAAATAGCTTAAATAAATTAACACTTGTAAACTCTGACTGATCGAAAACCACTGGCTAGATAAAATTGAAATCTTAATTACAAAACATCCACGAGCTTGAAACACAGGTACTTTAAAAAATTATTTTATCAAAATTCAAGTATAGCAATAAATGTAAAACAGCGCAATTTAATACAGATGGGAAAATATCTGTGACCGATAAAGAAGGAAGCAACTTACGACAAGCATTCTGTCTTTTACACCTTATTTTAGGTCAGTTGTAAGCAGCAGCATGTTTAGGAAGTGAGACTAATCAATTCAATAACTTCCAGCCCACGTTAATACATAAATTCAGAAATATTGGCGTTTAGAAATCCAACATAAGAAGTTAACTCAGTCACCTATTCAATTTAGCACAACAATTACAACTGTTGTATTGTACCCTGAAGACGGACTGAGCTTAGTCCGAAACGTCAGATGCCCCTAATTAAAGAACATTTTATGCGTTGTCTTCCCGTTTGTGACTTACCTAAAGATTATATCACCTGCCGCATAATGAAATCATGTACGATTTTCAACAATTACAATCACGTAAACAACCGAGGACTCCTTAAAAACTATCCTCTCATCCTCGTCGTAGGTGAAAAACAACGGTCAAAGTAAAAGATTTCTCGATAGGGTGCAGTGCAGTGAGGCTAATTCTTTTTTAACCGCTAAGGTAGACATGAACCCCAAAAAGGTCGGCGAATGAGACTCTTTGTATTATTGCAAATTCTTGACTGGTGGTCATAACAACCTGGCAGGTAGAAAGCAGCTGCAGTTCAGCTGTTCAGCCAGTCCGCAAATAAGCTCTCTTCCATAGCTGCTCTACCGCGCTCTACGTGTTCCTTTTTCAACGGAGACACAGAGCACATAAGCACAACTAATCAGAAGAAGTATGAATTTAAAGTACTACACCGAAGTTTTGGCCTCTGGCTCATCAATGAGGTGGCATGAGGATATTCATTTGAGCACAACGGTCCCCGGTAGACTATGCGCATATAAAGACAACGATGATGATGATGAACAACGCAGGGATCTATGGGCTTAGAAGAGAAATTTTCAGTGCTCACTGAGTCATTTCGAGAAGTCGCCAGAACGAAGAAACGGGAAACATCTGCCGGTGGTTGCCGATAAAAAATGCTTTTGTGAACTCGAACTACTGGGATACAATGGCATCGTCGTAATGATATTTTCTTATCTTACTACTATACCTCACTTTGCTACGTGAAGCCTGGCCAAAGGTGTGAACGCAGACTAATTTACTATCTCTTCAGAGGAAAGTGAATCTGCAACACTGGAGAAACTGCTGCACCATAAGGTTGCTCGACCATTCCCGTAAAGACGTGCTGAAACTTTTGCTTAAGAGAATCATCTTATTTGAAGAGAAACAGTGAAGAGAAGAACAAGTCGCAGCTCACGAAAATGGATATCTGCCCAGTGTGTGAAAAATTCGAACACTGGAGTATGGCAGTTCTTTCCTTTCAAAACGATTTCTACAAGATTTTCGATAGACAGAAGAGATTATTGGCGACCACTAAAAAAACTACTTCGGACAACGAACAGCCAACAAGAAGGAAATGGACTATAGTGATTCAGAGAAAGCAGTCAACATATGAAGAATGGACGTACAAGGCTGGGTGAAATCGTCAATACTGCTTATTATTTTACTCCAGCAAATTAAGGAGTATGCTCTCGCATTTCATACTGATCTACAGAAGCTGGAAACCGCCTGATGAGCATTCTTAGCTATACACACTACATTAAACTGCTTGTAGGAACCAGGTAAAAGTATTTAGAAATTAACTGTTTAATCATTCAGCATTGAAATAACACAAAAAAGGCCAAGGTGATGTGAAAAGGAAAATATGAAATTAACTTGCAGGCACTGTTGAACGGTTAAATTTGAAAACCGTTTGTCCACAGATTTAAATAATTCGATGCAGCTCGAACCCTCCCCTTCAATTCAGTCAATAATAGATTATGATGGCGATGCTGAAAATATCCACAATATAACAATAAACTAGATTAAAAAACGACGAGGAGGATATATTTGTTGATAAATAGATAAAGAAGAAAATGAAGAACTAAAGTTGACAATGAATCCTTCTCTTAAGCTAAAGTGACATCACTTGAAAACTTTATTGTTTATCAAACTATCTAAACAGTACTGATTTCGTCTGACTGACGTTAACAAGATTTCTTGGAGTTATTGCGTAACAGAAATACATAGCTCTGATGATGAAAAACAGGAGCACGACGACAAATAAGACAACAGTGAATCCGTCATTGAACCAATCACCACAGTTGCTATGGCATCACCCTAAGCGTATTTCTGTTACACAAAACTCAAACGATACTGATTCTCTACAACATTCTTCGGCGGATGGTTACAGGTAATAAAATTATGCATAATTATAGAAAAATTAGAAAACTATTGTTTCTTTATAGTAAAATCCGTCACTTCTGAATTACGCCTCGTACAATGCCAATTTTTTGAACTTCACCAGACCTCATTCAAACTTGGTGAATTATTTGCTTCATGCGTCTATGTTTCAAACTTTGCATTTGAAAGACGGAATTATAAATTTCTACAACTGGCTCTTCAGAGCGGTAGTTTAACAAGCTTTGCTCGTTTAAGGTACTCTCAAGCATTTTGCTGCCGGTGGACAAGAGATTTTTTTAATTAAAATTTTAGAGCAGCGTCGATTAATCAACGTCTAAATGACACTTTCATTAATTTAGAACAGCTAAACGAAACTGAAATCTCTCTTCTATTCAACGTTTCACTGTTAGATGTCAGTAAGTCAGCGGGAACATAAAACATCGAGTACTGTCATTCAACGTGAAACCTGAAGATTCAGATGGAAGTTTCTTACGTTCCAAATCTCAAGAATGAATCGTGAGTCACGCTCGTGAAACAGCTTAAAAACAGAATGTATGTTCCAGTAATTCGTTGCGTAACGAAGTTGCTATCTTCAGCATAACTCGGTTTATACTGGTTAGTTAAATCCTGACTTTTTAAAGTTTATAGTTCTTGAGTAACAATCCAAAAGAATTGACGAAAAGGGAGAAATGAACAACGATGAAAAACGCTTACTAGTGTTCTGATGTCCTAAAGTCAGACAATGCGATGCATACAGTTACATTGCTTGATGCGTGTAACCTACGTATTCTTTTACCAACAAGATATCTGACAAAGTATTAGCAGCAGGTGTAAACTATAAACAACGACGGAAAACTAACTTTTCATGTATTTTCATACGATAAATTCTTGTTCAGATGGAAAAGGGTTTTCGTGGAGCGTTCAGTGTTAATCAGTCAGTCAATAAAATTCACCTATCATGGGTCCCATCAAAACAGGAATTTGTCATATGTAAATATATCATGTAAAAGTTATCCATCATTTATAGTTTGCACCTCAAATGTTAATTTTTAATCAGTTATCAGATGGATGACAGCGCACGTAAAGCACACGCATCGAGCAATGTGACCGAATGTGCCGCAAGCTCTGGCATGACATCACAACACTGCACTGTCCCTATCTTTCGCATATTTAACGACCACCTGGCTGCACTGATGTACAGGAGGATGAATTCCTTGAAGAAAGAAATTAAAAGTTGGTAAGAAAAATGTTGCACCTAGTGTTGGGTCTGACACAAGGCCTCCAAAAAGTACAAAACTACAAATTGACTCACGCTCATCTGAATGGGACGCGTATTTTTTAACAATGTGACACAAAATCCACTCACCAGCTTCTGCCAGATGTAAAGCATTCGCCTGTCATTCCAGTATTCGCTGCGGTCTTGCAGAGATTCGATGCATTCTTCGACAAGCGACCTCAAAGAACTAGTTTTGCCAGTGAGAATGAGCTGTTCAGCCATGCGTATTCGCTGGTACCAGCTTTCCAAGGGGTCGATGGGCGACAGAGGTGTGCACTCGCTCTGCGACAGCTTTTCTTGTTGTAAAGCAACACTGCGATGGTCGTCGATCAACAGTTCGAAAGGCACCGCTTTGAGGCTTCGACCGCACTTTAGCGGTTGAATATTTTCTTTCGAAAGCTCCCATATCGCGGGAGAGCGGTGTAGCTCCTCTGCGCCGTTCATGACAACGAATTGAAAACAAGTAATCAAATCCTGAAATCATCGACAATGAGGCAACATTTCATGAGGCAACATTTCATCATCAACATGAGGCAACATAAATGTAAATTTACATGTAAAACAATTAAACCAGTTTTAATCATCAGTTTAAATCTGAGAGCAGATATGAAGATTAAAAATTTTTAGATGCTTACAGGAGTGCCAGCCAAACATGGCAGCATATCAGAGCACATAGCTGTCTTCAGTCATATTGCAATATTTTAACCGAACTGCTTGCCAAAATCCACTTTAAAGACTGATTTAACTTTCTTAATGTCATCAAAGATGACCGCAGTTTTAAGCAAAAAATACGGAGCAATATCAAACAATATAAGGTTAAAAAATATAGATGACTTATAGCAGAAAAGTAATATAAGACTTACGAAAGAGCACGGAACTATAGACACCAGTACACAACAATGGGGAAAAGAAATACATTTCACAGAGCAAGCACATGACGGTAACTTCGGTTCTCTGCAAATAAGCGGTAGGATGGTAAAAATGAGAGTTCCAATTCCATGTAGAAGCACTCGTTAATCGGACCACCTAAAAGCACTGCAGAATGAAACTTTTAAGTGTTTCATGCCGGAAATGTGATATGCTTCTGAGGATTATGCTGCTGCCATTAACCATATGGACTTCGAACGGCATTGCTAAATCTACACGCTGAGGTTTAAATTGCTAACACTAAACTAGGCGGATAATACCCTAGGAAAAAAGAAACGTTTATAACTGTTGGACTGTCCGTCTCCCTTGCACATTCGTAGTAGGGGACCAATTTTTCATTAAGTTTATGGCGCAACGTTGTTCATCTTTCCTATGGCATCAATCAGGAGCGTCATATTATTAATACAGGGTGTGCAGTCATATAGCAAGCACGGTATGTAGTTTCCTGCTTCCTTTACACTAACTGGAACTCATTAACCAACCTCAGAAGAAGGAAATGCGACTAAATCGTATCGAACTTCAAACCAGAGATCCCTCAAGTTCTACGTTCAACGCTCCTTAACTAAAAAAAAACAGAGAAAAAAGTTTAACTAAAGTTCAAATCTTCGCAAATAGATGCTAGACTTACTGAAGCTCCTGAAAAAAGTGAGGCAAATAAGTAAATTAGAAATTAAAAAAATTAATTTTGTAAAATCTTAGCTTACAAGCAGCATTTTATTACTGAAACATCAGTCCGAATGCCTGCCAATAAATACCAACCAACGAATAAACGTGTATGTATAGATTTCACCTAAGTTTAGGCAGCACCTGTTCCTGTCCAAAAATCCAACCTTCTGTTGACAGCAAGAAGTAAATGAAACGACAAAATAAGGGACGCATATTGGAAGTAAGTACAGCAGAAAGTACGAAGAGTTTTAATCCATCTCGAAGCATTCAGAAAATGCAGCAACGGCAATCGAACTTATATATGTGCTCATAAGTTAATGGAAAATTTGACTTTATCCATTAACGGAAGAATAGAGAACTACCATTAAAATTAAACTAAAAAGTTCGTAAAACCTCCTCTACATACCTTATACTATATGCGCAAAACATGGCATTTGATGCTAAACCGTAGGCAAGGTCTATGCGATGGTTATTACATGAAATTTGGAAATGGTCCAATATAAATACCCGTTACTCATTCAAAAGTGAATAAGACTGGAGAAACAGATAGAAACAACCTTGCAAGTAGCAATACCTTCGAACACAAGGTGAAATTTCTAATCATTAGAATATCGACCGTTCATACTCTTTCATGATGGCGCCAGTTGTGGAGAATTCCTATTCATGAAGTTAATAGCAGGGACTGATCTCCATTTTAACACAATTTGCAGGTGCCTAAATATAAAAAAGTTATATCTCAAGCATAGTGCATAATCCAGTGTTCCCTTTTCACACATTGGTATTCATTTACGAACCTGAAAAGGAAGGAAGGCAGAATGACCTTGGGACCATTACAGAGTCCGACGTTTTGCCTTTCCACGACTGTCACGAATATAAGATTACAAAAAGTAAGTGTATTTAATGCAAGATAGATGAATTACTATGTTTTTAGGGGAGAAACCGGTAAAGATATGAATAAAACCGGCGCTATAGTCTACGGAATGCCATCCTTTGATACGATGTGAAATACGCCTTCAAACATGGCAATCGGCAATGTGCATTGTTTTACTGAAACTTCAGGAAATGAAATCAGGAGTCGAATTTTCACATCTTTCTGGAAGAATATACTATTATTTATGAACAGCCATTTGGAACGTATCGACGGGGTGAAAGATAACACCAGACTGTAAAAAAATGAAGATCCGGATTTCATCTGCATCAACATACTTCATTTTCAAAAAAAACTGTTCCTTTGAGTTTGTACTTTACAGAAAATCTGTTGCGACGCTATATACATCGGGAAATGGAAACAATCAAACGATCTAAATAGATTTAAGCTGAGATCACGGCAACGATGTTTTAATCGGAAGTCTTGCAGTTGACCCTCAGACAAGAGAAATGCGCGAAACTAAATTCTTGTATTGCTTCACAAAAAAAGACAGATAAGAACTATTTTTCTTAGAGAGAACCTTAAAACTGGAAACTCTGACAAGTGAAAACACAACTGAAATTTCAGATCTTTCCCGCTCTACAATAAATTCATTTCGTATTCCATCCCAATGCACCCAAACGTACTTAAACCTGAAAATCATATTTACAGTAACAGAGAATAATCATTAGTAGGGAGGAAAATATTACTTACCTATCGGAGTCACGCCGAAGATTTATAATGTACGAATTGTCCAACGTTTAGGATCATGCCTGATCCGCCTTCAGGAAGCGACATGTTAAAAATACGACGCCACAGCAATTGCACGTTTATTTAGGTACAGACTTCAGTATGTGGGTTTCAGCCTCGAGCGTGAAAGTTAACTGATAACTTCATTCCAAAACGAACTTAGTTCCATGCCGATTCATACCCTAAGCTGTGAGTGTTGTCTCCAATTATCGTAGAGAAACTGGTAAATGGATGATAGGATGAAAAAAACAGTAATCTGACTAGATGGTGCAACGCGGATGAGGAACAAAATGGTCAAACACAGAAAGGTAAAGGGCAAAGACACGAAAGATCCGTTGGTAAGTAAACGAAAAAACCTCGGCGGCTGTGAAACATTCAGTACAAAAGATACATCATTTAATGTGTCCATACGAGAGCTAAACATTCTAGGAAAAATAACAGGAAGATGAAAGAGACATTGGTCATACAATTACGCAAATGAGTGAATAAAATCGTTGGTACAGAATTAAGTTCGAAATCGAAATAAATTATCAAGTAACTGGTGCTATCAAGGTATAAGCCTCCATAGTGAAGTTCGTACCTAAATATACAAACAATTGCTATAATATCGTATCTGTAATATGAAATGAACACGAATTCAGCATGATCGGAAATGTTGGAGAATTAGTACAATATAGATTTTACATGCAGCCTAGTTCCGACAAACACTTATTGAGTGATGAGTTAAATTGTCCTATTAAAGAGTCCACCTCGTTGCTTAAAGGAGGATTTCAATAAATGAAACCTCAGCCGCTTGCCATATATGAACGTAGCTTTAGCGAATTCAAAAGCTCAACAATAGTTCTTCGTCATATAGACCAGTTTAGAACCACTGGGTTTCGTTGGTCAGAAAAAAATGAAAATTTATGCAAATATCTTATTAGTGAAGCATCGAAAGGCTACAATATTATCATGCACACGCAAATTAACTTAATCAACTGAAACCAGAAGAGACTAAATGAATGAAATACTAGAACACATCAACTTTAATTTTTGTTCACTCGTGACCTTTCATTCAACAAAACAATTGCTTGCGAGAATAGTCAGATGTTACTGACGGACTACAAGATGAATGACAATGCGCCAATCAAACCGAATGAACGCAAATTGACAGTTGCAACGGCAGTTATATTGGATTTCTCTGACTGGACGAACTGTCAAAGACATTACAGTAAGTTGCGAAAGTCCGAAGTTGAATGCCACGATCGGCAAAGAGAAAATTGCCGGTGAGTGAGATGAAAGGCAGAAACAATGTAAACTAATTTAGCGTCAGTTTAAACATGATCTTTGCTGTTTTGTTACAGAGATAGTTATTGTATATACATCCTGCTCTGGATTAAGATTGAGAGCCTTGAATGCCGAATTGAAATGGTGTATGCTTAAGTCCTGGATAAAATCCAAGCCAACTGTCCTTAAAGCCAGAAAATGTCCTGAAACTTAGGTAGATCAATCGCTTGCATTGCATATAATTAGCAAGGCGAATGCAAATTTTCGATGAACAATGTATGAACGCCAAGAAACTTTCCTTTTATACTGATCGATTCATTTTGCAATATGTTTTCAGAGCGTGGTGATGCAGAGAATTTCAGAAATATCTTGATGAAGTTTTCAGAAGTCAGGCTTTGATCTAACAACTACATCATTTAAGAAAGGTATCAACACCATGTCCATTCAATATAGCCGGTTCAGAAATGGACAGCAGGTCTTTGACTTACCAAGAAGAACAGCTTGGCACTCTTGCGTGGCTGTACCAGATTGGGCGAGATGTACTGCCACGTTATCTTACCGACCAGTTCTTCTGCGCTGCGCTTCAGATGACTCGTTGATCACAAGGTTATACTCCGTAAACGTTTCAACCATCGGAATAATACTTACAGAATGAGTAAATGACCATAATCACAAGACGTCACATTCCGAAAAAATCCATCGATCGTTGCTTAACTACCCTTATTGGAAATTACATTTTTCTGCGAAGTGGCATTAGCACTTATTGCAGCGTGTCATAAAGTAGCTTGAATTTTTTTGCAATAAAAACCTCAGAAATGTGATCTTTTATCCTTCCTAGAAAGAATTTTTATGGTATCATTATTTTATCATCTGACGAGGTTCTGTAATATTCTGGCTTCGGCACTTTCTCGTTTCGCCGATGTAAAATGCGATATACGTAATGATCCGATTTTGAAGATCTCCCTTTAACAGACTCTGGCACTGGATCGTATATTTTAAAGATTAACGCGGCAGTGCAACAGATCGATATAGCGAACAAAGTACGAGATGTACATTACAAAACAAGTTAGTAAATGCTATGGAGCAGCAGTTTCATAAAATGCTTCAGCCGTATATCTGAATTGGACGTGAGCCAACGCTTCAGATCATTTTTTCGAATTCTAAACAATATTAGCTTATGGCTTTTACTTTTACACGAGCAAAACATATTAGTCGTTCATAACTAAAAAAGCGACGTGAATAGTAAAAATTCAAACAGAAATTCAAATAATTCAATCAAAATCATTCTCCATTAGAAAAAACCTTTGAGTCAGTAGGTTTCGTAGAGTTCCAGGAAACATTGCGGCTCTCTAAATGAGGAAATACAATCAGCGGAATAAAGATGTCAAAACTCTGACAATAGCAACGCATAACATATTGAAAACCAATCAGTGCATATTTTCCATTATTAAATACATTTTAGCAATACTGGATCAAAAATCAATTTCAGACATCTGTTATGTAGACAAGACGATGCCTAAAGTGAAGACACACTAAGCTCGCCACACAGCTCCAGACTCGGCCTGTAAAATAAGGCACTTTGCTGCTAGTATAGAAACAGAGGTCAGCGCCACATTGTGAAATTCATAAAAACAGTAAGTTAGAAGTGGTCCGTAATAACGAAAGCATAAGGGAGACCGACATTCTAACAGACGGTTACAAGCTAGAGCTAAAGTACTGAAACGTATATTTATTAAATGTTTCACGCGAAACAATATATCAAGCAATCTGTTTAGCAAAGTAAATTATTTCTAAAATGTTAATGAGACCTAGACAAGCTAATTCATCATTGGAACAAACAGAAAATACAGGGTGACGAGTAGACCATTAAATATTTTTTCAGTTATTATGGAAATGATTAAGGATAATATATTCGACAAAACAGTCATTGGCAATATAATATGAGCAACATACCTTTTTCAGCAACAAATGACCGAAAAGAGATTATCTGACTTTATCAGAAACAGTTATACGAGACTAAGCATAGTGAATTTTCATAACAACAGAATAAAAGAAAATAAAAGGACCTTTCTCATGCATTTTTTCGTTGGTAAGGTACTTAAAACATTGGATTTAAAAAATAATAATTATTCAAAAGATACTACATTTTCATATTCGCAGAAGTCTAAACAGTCAGATGAATGAATATAAGTAAAAGACAGAATAATGCAACAGCCAATTAAAGAGACAGACATCCAGACAAGAGTTCAATGTATGGAGTCTTCCCGGACTGATTGGCGGACATCCCCCCAGAGAAGTGGAAATTATCGTCATCTGAACAAAAAGCCAAAATCGCATACCATCTGAATATTGAAAGTGAACATATCGTCCTCACCATAGGAGGAAAGGATTATGACACTCACTGGAAGTCCAAAGAGCACGCCATCCGATCGGCGAGCTGCCCGTATATGTCATTCAGAAAAACAGAAGGATGCCGCAGAGACAAAAGTGCACCTGAGGTCAGAGGCAAAACGGTCGACATGTAACAACCTTTAAAAAAAGGAAAGAGAAAAAACAACAGAACGGTATTAGTCGAGATGTTGGGAATGACAGATTTTTAGTTTTCAGTAATGGAATGTGGTTCACCGCTAGTCCACCAGCCGCAACCTTGGTCTGATTGCAAAATATATTCAAAACGCAATTCATTTAGTTCGAAAAAAAGCTGAAGTGGCAATAAACCGAAAAAGATGGCCAAAAATCATACTTAATAATTGGAGAAGGAACACATTGCGGGTTCCAAAAGCTTCGATTACCATATATATTTATTCGAAACTGTATGCTTAATGTTTATCTGTGCATTTCATCATCATAAGGACTGAGCTCACGTTGAGAAAACTGCATGCTTTTTTGGCATATTCGAAATCAGCTTCGAGTTCACGTCTGCGCTCTGCAATTTCTTCCTCGAATAGGCTATCCGCTTCCTCATACCTATGCAAATTACAAGCATCAGATCACAAATATTAGATACAAAGGTTGCTAAACGGTGCTCGTACTTTATGCGCTTATCTCCTAGATCTTGCTTCAGAAATTCGATTTCATTGTTTTCCTTTTTCACGGCATCTTCATATTCCTTTTGTACTTTTGCTAGATTCGAGGATTCGGCCTGATATTCGTTATCGTTTGCCTAAAACATACAGATTTAAAAAAAAACTACATGGAAAAGTAAGAAAAGCATAAACAAAATTCAACCATAATTGTGGAGTAGCTACCAAGAACGGTAACCGATATCGGATTTACACGGTAAACGTAAAAGTAAAGTTACTTATGTTACGGCGATACTACAGTAACGATAAATAGATAAGAGCGCATTACATTGGGTTGTATCGCAACACTGCACCGGCGGAAATTGAAAGCTATTCTTGGTAGCTACCAGTGACAATCGAGCTATATTTTGCTTCATTTTATGTAGTTTACGATAAGTAGTGTCAAATTTGCTCGAATGTTCTTGTTTGGCCGAATTTACTGACGCAATGTACGCGTCTGATGAATTGCCGACGCTAAAATACCATGAAGTCGTATCTTGCTTCAATTCCCCCCCCCCTAAACGACCAGAAACAATACGGGGTAGTACAACCTAGTGCAAAGATTGCCCTTCGTTGTAAAGTCAGTAACCTTACTTTCCAGCTTTTGAGGTATAAAGCTGTTATTAGCGGTTGAAAGATAAAATAAAGAATAAGAAAAGAAAGTCTAAAATAATTCCGGCAATTATATTATCCGTCACATAATATCATTAGTATAAGAAATTCTTCTTGATCTTGTGTAAACGATAAATTTACTATCCAGCACAATTTACTACGAGCAAAAAATATTATTACCTAAACGTTTTGACCGCACAACAGGAAAACAGTGTTTCACGCCACTTAAGTACAGTTCAAATGATGCGCTGCTTGCAAATGAAATGAAAAGGCTTTCTGCCTCTGTTCGTAATAAGAACCACGATAATCACTTAATAAAATCGGCATTTAATCGCTGAAATAAATGACGGTCTCACCTAATTAAATTTTAAAAAAAAACTTGTCATTAAATCTTTTATTCCCATATTATCTTAAGAAATTGAAAAACTTCTTGAGGAAGCAGACCATAAATGTCCTTTTCTAATAAAATCGTGCATAAGGTTCATTCTTTTAATAGCTGAGAGCTGAATATCCTCCATATATGCCAATTTTCAATGCGCATTCAGTGTACGTCAGTAATTGTGAAAGTCAGTATGCCAAGGAGGTAAATGAAACAATATTCATCTCGCAACAGCAGGCGATTCAATCCAAGATATCCAACAGCGACATATCGGTGTCGAGACCGCATCTACTGGTTCAGTACATAAAAACTATGAACGTAAAATGAGAAAGGAAGCTCTATTGACATTACCTTACATATGTTTTGAAAGTGAGGCTTTCTGCTGTTAGCCTAATTCACGTCTCAAAGCAGGAGAGAAATAGGTATCAACAGATTAGCATACCTAATGCTCAAAGTTATCAAGCAGTGAAAAATTAATATAGTGCAAAACAAATTTACTTTCTTGCCGGATTCGAATTCAGAAGTTGCGAAATCGAATTCTTCTTTCAGTTTCGCCACGTTATTTGTCAACGAAACTAGCTGTTCCTGTTGCTGAAAAATCAAACTTAATGAATTTAACTGAAAATAATTAAAGACAAATTGAAGCAAAGTAAGGGAATGACTTTAACAAATAAAACGTATTTAATAATTTCAATAAAATTTAAACATAATAAAGCTAATGACATGGCACTACATTACCCTGTTGAAAAAAAATAACCAATGAATGAACCACTAACATCATTCTGTCATATGACCGTTTCAGAATCAAACCAAGGTACAATTTCCACAAAACGTTTCTACACGTACTTCGAAATGGTATTCATACGGCTGATAAACCAGAAAAAAGGAATAGAGATTAACGCAGAGGAATTAGACCTACTTCAGATCTGTTAATAACGCTATGTTAATTGCAGAAAAGACTATTTGCCAGCACCAGCAAAACAGCTTGACAAAAAAGGGGCAAAGCTTATCTAAAATTTAGCTGATAGAGGACAAAGTTTATGCAGCAATGTACGGTGCATAATTTACGGTTATTGGACAAAGTACAGAAGTGTACGGTTAGTCAGTCTGGCCTGGAATTTGACAAGCGACATGTCAAGAAGGCTGAAAATAATAAGAAGTTCATGGCGCTCAAATCCATCAAGCATATCTTATATGAGAAAGCCAGCAGAAAGACAGGCGCATTTTTCGAACTCAGAGGCAGAGTCTACGACGCTGTTCGGTAGTCAAGCATTATTGCTGTTGAAAAAGGAGGAAAATCACCTCTGTATTACGGAGCTCCATGGTAAACGGAGTGGGAAACGCTGTGATCATATCTTAGTGAAAAGCAAGGACTGCACAGTGTGAAAAGATGGACACTTAGTTCAGTTCACCAATCCTCGATAGATGATGGCTATCGCTGAGTGGCAATCGAGGAAGTATAAAAGACTGCTTTATCGCTTTCCAGATATGTAGAACGATTTTATGTCCGGCTAACCATTGTGGCGTAGAAAAGCAATAATGAAAGAAGAATGAAGTGGTTTGAGCGGCAAAATCCATCTGGTTGATGATTACCGACAAATTAAAAGTAACCGTATAAGGCACCTGAACTGAGGCATGAAGATGTAACAGTGAAGTCGGACTTGAACTCTAAAGATGAGGGGTTCAAATCCGTTATATGGACATTCCTTGTATTTATCGCGAATTCAATTTAATTAGCAAGGAATCAACCACACGTTCTTCGGCGAAGCCAGTCAAGAAACAGGCAACAAGACAATGAATTGCGAATAACAAGGACATCATGGTTTTCTGGTGTACTCATGCTATAGTGGACGAAGTGTACAGCCGGGAAGCAGCATTCCTTCTGGCGGCACCTTGCTATAACTCACCTTCTAGCTGGCTATGCAATGTAATAACCAGCAGAAGATATAAACCTGATTTCGATTTCGAACGGCAAACCTGGAAATTTCTTTCAATGACCGAAGTAAAGAGAACATCAATATTTAGAAGTCTTAAGTTTCTGACCATAACTGGAGCTTCGGTTAAGAAATGAATCTTCTCTGAAAAACAGAAAATTTTGTCATAGCTTCATTCGTATATAAAAATGTGTACGCAAGCCAGAAGTTATACGCTCGAAAAATAAATATCATCAGAATGCAACTCTTACCTCTTTCATTGCTTCTGTCTGGACCAATTCTGATTCCTCGTTTTGACGAAGGCTACGGATTTTCGCAAGATCTCCACAGGACTCACAATCCTAAAATAATTTCAAAGTATTTCAGAAAAGCACAGAAAAAGTTTGACCCAACTTTCAGGATTTCCAGGCATGAATCCATGATTTCCTCTTGAAACGGCAATGCTGGAAAATAGCTGTCAAAAAATGAACTGCGTGGAAAGACGAAACTGAGCTTTCGGTACTTTTCCACAGTAGTATTCCATAAAATCAAGATCTAAACAGAATGTAGATGCATCATGTGTGGCTGATGGAAAAACTCAATCTGAAGAAATTGATCAATAGTCAAAAAAGAACAAATTAACGATTAAAATAAAAGAATTTTGGCAATATCGTCGACAATAATTTCCTGATGAACAAGTCTGTCCATTTTTTAAAATTTTTGTAGTAATTTTGATAGGAGCAGTCTTAGCGAAACTTTACTCTGACCTGACCTTGAAGAACAATTGCCTGATAAATGAATCAGTAACGGACATAACCTTTTGGCCAAGACTGTTCGTGCATCTCGTTCAGTGCAATCCTCTGTGTACGAATCTGAAACTGTTCGATTCTGTGATGTCTTTTATATGTACTATCTATTCATTCACGCAAACTACATATTAAAGTGCTTAAGTTTTGTTTTTTGGTACTTTTTAGACCGGTTTCGTAGCAACAGGTGACGAAAAATATGACTATTTGTAAAAGAACTGATTGGATAAAACAAACAGTCGCCCTGCTGGCGATGACAGATGGTCGATGAAGAAAATTCAAGAACAGCAGCTACGTGAAATAGCAGCTCACTGCGAAAAGCACCTCAATAAAGGATGTTAGGAATTTACCGAAGATCTCACTAACAATTCAGTAATCAGAAAAACCGGAATGAAAGATATCGCCGTGAAAAGCATCGAAAGCAAACTGCAATGAGCAGGGAATGTTAATCATTTCGCAACCGTCGAATGATATTGGTAAAATCGTAAAATGTCGGTTGGTCACCCTGAAAGAAAATGGGAGACGGACATGTCAAAGGAAGGCCTGAATAAGACATTATCAAATAATCTGTTTTATGCTTAAACTTGAAACAAGTTACTTACGGACTAAACGCAGTGAGGCGTATATTTATGCAGGTGATAAAACACGACAGAACTAGTCCAAGAAAAATCCCTAAGTTTCTAGAATCGAGATGGCAACGTGAATGTTAGCTAAACTCAAATTTAAATTATGTGGTTTCGTATAAGATAGCGCTGCACCTGCTCGGTGAATGAATGCGTTTTTGTCCAATTCAAGTCAGCGATGAAGTACTGCATCCATGTATCGGCGGGGCTCAAGTACCATAAAGATGTGGATAGC